CCCTTGGTCGTATGAAATCTCTTGCATGTCCGTCATACCACGTTGACGAAATGCTAAGGTATTATCGGTTATGTTTTCACTGTCATAATAGTAGATTGCGGTAGCGCAGATGCGCTCGTTCTGTTAAAAGTTAGAATATACAGTTCATCAAAGGGCGCAAAACTCTCACCAACTGTCCCTCAATGTGCCAAGAGCCTCCTTCATACTCGGGGTTGTCCGGGCTCAATTCAATGTTCGCCAGCTTCACGATGATCTGCAATTTCTTGTCGGGAAATTGGTCGCGTAGATCAGCACTATATATTTCTTTTCGAGGTTCAAAGCTGGCTGGCTCAGGAGGAATAATAGGACGGGTACTCTCCCACTGTTCATAGAGTTCCCAGAATGCATCATTGTCGTAATTATCCCCCTCCGGCTGAACAGGCTCAGGCTCTGGATGCTCACCATATTCGACCTTGCTGTACTCGATTCTTGGATTGAGGAATTTGGACAGACTGCGGTTCCAGAGCGGGATTGCCTGAGCGATGATTTTCCCAACGACCTCATAGAGGGGCTTATGGTGAACAGGGTGGGCGTTATTGATGTATGACACGATTCGACAGCTGTCATCATCGCCGAGTTCCACATCGCACGGGAGCCATTGAAACTTATCGCTGAAAACACGGATTTGCTCATCGGAGTCATATTCATGTTGGCTATACAAGAGTGGGCCACAATTTCGACTCAAAGGAACGGGGACAAGATCTCCTTGTCCCACGCTTCCTAGACAGTCATTAAGGCCAATGACTCTGTCTGGAAGCACGCGAGTTTGGCCGTAAATCACCGGGAACAGTGAAGGATGTACCAGATCAACCACTTTTCTATCAGACCCGGGGTGGTAATCTTTCTCCGGCATATCCTCGAGAGGTTTGACTGCCTCTTTCAGTGATTGTTGTATCTCTTTCGACACGGCAGTATCAGACTTGATCACGCCCACATCAAAAACGCGGACGTATCCCATCTCTTTAAGAGTGTTGGCTTTCCATTGAAGCTCCTTGATGATCCAGTCTATCATCGTAGGAGTCACATCTTGACCACTTTGGGCAATCTCGTCGCGCCATTTCGCCGTGATGTCATTATCAAAGACCTATAGGAAGTTAGAAACAAACATGGAAGCTAACAGATATACAAGTCCAAACACACCTTCTGATCCCATTGAGGCTTATCGGTAATGGTGTTCATCACTCGCATCATGAGAACCTCTCGATGAGTCACTAAGTCGCTGGAGAGCAAGGTTAACTCAGGATCCCGCCCGTAGTACAATTGAAACATACTGCAAGTGACCTTTTTCGAGTGCATCGTCATCCAATGCATTAGGAAAGCCGTGGTGGCAGGTGTACACCGCATTTTTCTGGTTTGTTAGAAAATGGCATGTGTGGAAAGAAGATACAGATTCTCACATCGGGCTGGCAGTCCAGCTTCACATTGAACCCTGGCATTCGAAGCTCGGGATTGGAAATTAGAGACATATTGACGTAGAATACTGGGGTAATAATATTCAATCATTCCTGTCCACAGGAGGTTTTTGTACTCGAGCGGTGTTGACGGAGTCCAGGCAGAAACGGGTTAGCTCCAGGCAGATAAGGCGCTAAGTCCTCTTTGGGCGGGGTTGCCTGGGAATTGATATAGGCATCCAAGGCTCCAAAGCAATGAATCTTTTATGATTTTCTTTAAAAAATATTGTGAACGAAACGTATACTCAGTTCCGGATGTAGACTCGTGAGGTCAGAAAAGGCAAAATCAGGTGTGACAATGGTGCTTGTAGAGAGTATCTTAGAAGTAATACACATCATAATCCGTCATACACATGACGAGAAAAAAATGGCTCTTTTGATTCTAGTTTTATTTTCCTTGGAGATATCCGTTTTCGCCTGTTCATTCCCGGATAGGTATTGTTTGGGACTAACGGGAACGGTCCAGCAAAATCAGGTGTTCGCTGCCAATCTATCAGGCAAGTAAGAATGATTTAATCATGATCTGAGATCACAGTATTCCGGATTCCTATAAAAGGAACCATAGCAGCGGCTTCCTTTGCTAGCAACTGTTCTCTCCAAAGCTTTCTATGTCCACATGAATAGATTTCTCACCCCACTGTGTCATTAAACTAACTCATTACCTACCATAATTCAGTATTTATCTATATATTATACTTGATAGTGCCTAGTAGCGGTATTGATTGTCGGGCGCAGCCACCCCGGCTGTATTGATGGGCTGTTTGCTATCTTACCAATGAAGAGGATATCATCATAAGAATAGGAGATTAGTATCCCAAGCAACCTTAGGGACTTCCACGCTCGATTTCATTACATAAAAGTGGTTGTTGATACCAAAAATCTGGCTTGTTTCTATATCTTCAACACTACATACACATTCCTTCGCCTCTTCGGCTTTCATGGGAAGGTTTATGGAACAACCAAAGATTATAGGTGATTACTACTTCAAAAGAGATAAATCCGAAAGACTTGATATAATAGACCGATAATATCCACACACAGGCTGACCCAACAACCCAGAACGGGCGCTAAAGATACCTAGGCCATAGGAATGGCATTGCCGAGGTCAAGTGCTGCAGCCCGCGGGCCGGCCCGTCGAGCCCCAACTTTAAATCCCACCGCGAAATTTTCGCATCGCAACCCCACTTCCTGTGTGGTCTTCAACCTGCGTCTGCAGAAAGCAACTGGACGAGAACAATATCAAATATCAAAAACAAGATGGCGCCTATCAACCTTTCACACAGGCGGACGCACAATTTGCTCCTGATTTCGAAACTCTTGAGCTTGCGCGACACTGCGTCGCCCCTCACACTTGTCCTGGATTCCCTGGAGCAGCCGGCTACGCCACTCCTGAAAGAATATATTAGACGTGCAAAGGTATATTGACTTAGAATGTTATCATAAGCGACACCTGCGTTGCTATTGAAAGGGGGGAACAGCCATGCTGACTAGTCCGACAGCTGTCCAAAATCCATGTCACGCTCATCGCTTTCGAAACCCTGAAGCGACCCGATGGAGTCGATGCTTTTGTATCAACACGCCGCAAGAGCCCTGCCGATATAGTTAAAGAAGTGAGCGCAGCTTATCAGTCTGTTGCAACTTCCAACCCCTCACGCAGTAAGCATTGTGCATTTACCCCGCGAGTGAACTCATACTTACTGCCTTTGTAGGGCGTCTTATCCTCATTGATTCAATTAACCCTCTCTTCAACTCAAAAAGAGTTGACCCTGGGTTCCACCTGCCCTCCTTCCTTGGCTCGTTTATTGCTCCCTCGTCGTCGTCGGCTAAGGTTGATGCATCACTCGTGGTGACATATCATCAAGATGTCCCCGAACTTCCACAGCAAAGCCCCTATTCACCACCACCTATCTCTGTATTGACATACCTTGCTACGAGCATCATCACACTCCATTCATTCTCGCATGTCCTAGCACAGAAGGCCGCTCGCGACCGCAGTCTGGCCCCTCCAGTATTTGGGCTTGAGGAAGAGCAAGAAGGGGTTCTGCTCGGCCGATTGGACAGATTGGTCGGCACCGGCAAAGCTGAGGGAGTTGTCATTGAACTAGAGCACAGGCGCAAGAGTGGTCGTGGTGTACTGGAATGGTACCTCCTCCCGCCTCCTTCGCGGTATTCGTCACAGCATCCGAAAGAGATTGTGACGTTGCTTGACGATAATGTTTTGTACAATCCTCCCATGGAGCGAGATACAGGCGCCGGTGATGAGGAACCGACATCAACCTTCGAGCTGGGCCTCACTGACCGACAGAGGCGCGAAAGAGAAGGTGTTGTGTTACCATACTTTGACGCACAGCATAACGATGGCCCAGGCGAAGGAGGCCGGATTCTTTACGACATGGGAGAAGAAGACGATTTCGACGAAGAAGAGGATGAGATTTAGAAATCATTAAATACGATACATGTTCACACGCAATTCTTCTTATTCTAGAATCGGCGGATTGTAACCCGCAATCACCGAGGTATTAACTATGCGTACATTCATACAGCGAGGCCTATGAGCATGGCCACGAAGAGCAAGGAATCAGAAGAATCGCCAGAAAAGAAGAATGCAAATGACAAGCCCGACGCCAGCGAAAGGTCCGTACTATGAGATGGTTAGCCAATCGTCAAGGGAAATCTGGCGCAAAATATAGACCCACCTGCTTTAGCAACAATTCCCAGTTGATGCGTACAGCCGCCTTTCTGTACTTCTTGCTGTCCTCGCGCAGTCGCCCTGACAGTTCGCCCATCCGCTCCAAGCTATCGCCTCGGTACAAGAGGTCCTCGATGTTCTTCGTCATCACCTTGGTGACATCACGAAGCTCATCGTTCAGCTTGTCGAGGTTCTGAGTTGCGCGACTGTCTTGGTACAGTTTCTTTGTGCGCTGAATAAATGTATCAAACTCGACAAAAGCATATGGACGGAGGGTAGGTGAGAGATATTGTGAGGAGGTATAAGTAGTCGTGAATTCGGAGGCCAGATCAGCGAGATAGGTGAAGGCGAGTTTGCGGGGGTAGGATTTGTCGCAAATGCAAAGGAAGCAGACATCATCCTGGATTGTGTAGCTACAAGCCATGTAAGAAATTGCCCATTGGTAATGTTTGTTGGCTGGTGGGTGTGACTTACTGTAGACTGTATTGGCCAGACTCAATACTGGCTTGGGGTGCGGAATTGCGATTCAAGCGCCGAAATATCATTTTAGCCTGACCCTTGATCTCAGAGAGCTCCGATTCAGCCTGAATAGGTTGTAAGCTCACGACCAGCTTAAATAATTGTTGTCACGTACCTGCTCGTCGTCGACTGAAGCCGCCAGCATTAGGCCTATTTCACTTCGACATCAGCACTCCGTCACCTCACAACCTCCCCAGAGAGTTCCTCACCATCGAGCCTTGCAATCTGCGTGGACCTGACCATCCTGAAAACGTTGCTTTCTTGTTCTAAAGGACAGTGCTCTCCTTTGTTTTGCCGTGAGAATGGCTCCAAGGAAGAGAGACACGAAGGCGGTAGCGAAGTCCCGTGCGGCAGAACCACGACGTTCGGGGTAAGCTCCGCATTTGCTTTTCAACTTCCTTACTGACGTCTTATAATAATGTCCTAGTCGTGCTGCTGCTAGTTCTGCCAATGTAGCAGAACAGTCGGGTCTCGCCATGTCGACCCCAAAATCCGAAATGAGCTCACGAGCTAGAACCCCAAGAAGGCCTGCCGCTAGAGGGAAATGGAGCGAGGAGCAGCTATTGACGAGCGACAAGTCCCTCCTCATTGACTTGGACCTAGTGGTATGAACCGATCCTTCACAAATGCCATACAAGATTATCCGAACTAACAATAAGCTCAAAACGTCTAGAAACTGTTGGCACGACCTGAAGCATGGAATTCCCTTGAGGAAAGCGATAAGCGTGAAATCCTCGCTCTACTCCCCCCAGATGTCCACCCAGAGGCACAAGCTGCATCGGATGACCCGGCTGCAAAGATACAACCCATCCCCGACTCTTTTATCCGCTATTCAAACAATTGGCGCGACGGCGTTCGACAGTTCCAGCTCGACCTCCAAAATGGTCGCTACGACCCCGAATGGCTACGCCAGGCGCAGGAAGCCAGGGAGCAGCGCGAAAACGGCGAGTTTGATGACTTCAAAGAGCGCGAATATGAGCAGTTCTGGGGACAGAAGCAGAAAGCCGTATGGAATGCACCTGCTGGAGAAAGTGCACGTGTGAAGATGGGAACTCTTATCAATGACGGTGTCATCCAGCTGGGCGACATCTGGAAATTCTACTATGTTTACGGTAGAGGGCCTGGCAGAATTGTCATCGAAAAGGAAGTCAAGGTATGTAAAGATCTATCCACTCCGCATACAGGTTCGCCATTTGCTGACAGCTACAGGTTCTTGACCGTGATGGGGTGAAATTGACTTTTGCGATTCCACCTGGTGAACGAGTCTTTCTTCGCAGCAATTCCGACAAAGCAGAGCCAGTTTCAACGCCAGAGAAGGGAAAGGAAGATGTGAAAGTCGATTTGAACACACAGCCAGAGCCGGTGATATCATCCTGGAATGATAAACAGTTGAAATACGAGGACCCAGAATCACAGCTCACCAATGCAACCTCCAATGGCGAAGAAATGAAACTTTATGCTGATCAAGCGCCACAAGAGATTCCTCCGACTTCTAGTGACAAGATGAATTTTGGAATCGACCAGGCGTCACAGGATACCCCTGCTTCTTCCAATGTCGACAAAATGAAGCTTGACAATGACCAAGCGCCACATGAGATTTCTACGTCTTCCACTGATGAGATGCACACCGACACCGTCGCACAGCCAGTCATTCCACCTTCAAATGACGAAGAGACCCAACAAGAAACCCCGTTCAGCGTTGTTATTTTCAGCCCCGGTGGTACGCGAAATCAAAAACCCAAGCGCACAATTCCTGAGCCCGAACCTCAGCCCCCAGTGAAACGCAAGCGAGGACGACCACGTAAAAATCCACCAAAACAACCCAAGCCAGAGCCACCGCGAGAACCGGAGGTGTCTCAGGAAGTAGAAGTGACTCAACGCGATGAACAGAGCCCAACTGTTCCTGTTTCCTTCATGGACATCGTGGCTACACAAATCGAAGAAAACTGCAAAGCTGCAGCAGCAGCATCCTCCGACCCAAAGCCCTCGCAGCCAGAATCCCCTTTATCTGTGCTTCCTTCAACTCCTGAGCCGCCAAGGCTCGCACCAGAGTTATCTACGTCAGTAGAGGAGTCATCCATTGCCAAGACCAACGGCAAAAGTGATAAAGCGGAATTAATGAAATTATCCCCAGCTCAGTTCGATACACCTGCGGACAGCGTTGAGGCTTCCGTTAAGGCTTCCGTTGAGCCACCCGTCGAAACTGGGCAGGACAAAATCACTAAACCCCCAAGTACTGAACCACAGAACGATCTAGTCCTAACACCATCTCAAGCTACTACTACTAGTGAGCTGGCTGAGATCATTGTTCCCAACCTCTCCTCTCCACAAGCGCTCGTTCATAAGATTCTACAAATCGATGGCCGCATGCCGAACGGCCGTACAGCGAATGCCTGGAAGGAAATCCGGTGCTACAGAAACAATCAGGACATGGGTAGCCTCTTTGATGTACGAGAGGCTTGGTTCCTCCAGCAAGGACAACTTGAGTAGCCACCTTCCACTTCTAGCACAAAAATAGCGATACACCATACCATTTGGTTTTCACATACACTGCCCTTGATACCATGTGAAGATCACAATTGAAAATGATCCTTACATGACCAAGGTAGCTAGCTTGCAATGAACAATTGAACCCCAAGGTCCAGTAATATCCTACAGATAAAGCATAAAATAGGAGTCTAGTATGAATGCAAAGGACTATATCAGAATCCCAAAAGCTACACAGATCTTCTATGTTCCTATTTTGTCGTAATTGAGGTAAATTAGGTCATGTATGTAGGCCCTATATCGAAGCATCCATGCATTGTTTCTAGGACACTAAACCAAGATTGTAATTACAAATTACATCCTCGCTGTCCATAATTCATGACATGATGCTTTATAAAATGGAAGGTACCATAACCGCCAGCGCCATCCGGGAATCCCAACTCACTGACAACGATCCAGCCATCCAAACTCAAAACCATATGGGGATGGCTGATATAGGTGCACCTCTGCTCATAGCAGGCAACAATTACTAGATTGATGACGGAGTTAAATAAATTTAGAAATTTAGACACTCGGGTGAGACCCCAGTTTTCATACTAGAGCCTCAGGCCCACGTGGGCACCATAGAATAGGAATTACTAGGTGAGCCATGAAGACCAAGAGGAACCACGAAATATACTGAATACAAGGTCGGGTATGGGAAGTTAGAAAGGTTAGAAAAATCACATTTAAAAAAATACTTCTGAAATATATATGGCGGGTATATAGTTTCTCTTCCTAAACTGTAGCTAGCCAGGGAGTACGTCACTCATGATGTTTATTTACGGAATAGAGATTTATGGGTGGCGCAACTATATCTATCAAGCCCCATTGCCCCTTGGCAACTCTTCCCACTTCCGCAAAAATCTTCTCGCCTTTCCTTTCGAACCCGTGGATGGTATGATAGGGCTAGTGGGCATTGTTAAACAGAGTAGACTCTTGGGGGTTGGAGTGATATATATCGACAGATAGGTATACTTCCAATATTACATAGTTATCAAAACCCCAAGCTCGTTTAGTAGAGAAAGATATATATAATAGCTGGTACTACACACTAAGGTCCTTCGTTCATTCCAGAAATAGCGGGCATAGGATCCGAATCCGCAGCAACATCAACAGCAAAGCTGGCCTGTATAAAGTCTTCAAGCTCTTCACTCACAGTCTTGAGCTTCTCCTTAACACTAGCAACACCTTCTTGTCCAACAATATGTCGCGAAGGAGGATTTTCATGGCCACCAATTGATGTAATGGCATAAACTGTTTCAGAGACCAGCACTTCAAGATGTGCCGAGCTTAACGGTGGGTGCATGGAGACAACCTCCGGAGCGGAGAATGGGCCATTTTCAATGGAGCTGACTCGGGCGTTTTCATCGTTTGCTCGACTGGGTGTGACTGGGCTGTCAGATGAAATAGAAGCGTCAGGAAGTTGGGGGACGAGGTGGTTCAGGATCCCGCGGAAGAGAGGTGCTTGATTGTTGGCGGGTGAATAGGCCGGGAAGATTGGAGGGACACTGGTTACTAGGTTGGTGAGGATGCCAATTTCGATGCTGCATTGGAAGATGGTGAGTTTGACGTTGAATGGGGCAATCTCATAGGCCAAACTCTGGAAAGCTCGTTAGTTTCTACAACTGAAATCATTTAATCAAATGCGCATAAAAAGACTGACATCACAGAATCCTTCAAGGGCCCAGCCTGCTGCGCAGTACATTCCAAGTCCAGGTGTACCGATATGCGCAGCTGTATATCGTCAGAGGAATATCCTAGAATTTGGCGAGATATGTTTCTTACTGATCCCTGATATTATCATCACATGCCCTGCTCGCTCCTTCCTCATATGGGGGAGCGTGGCCTTAATGATATTGAGGGGGCCGAAATAGTTGACCTCGAATTGATCGCGTACGAGATTCATGGTTTGAGTTGAAGCGGAGAGTTCCTCGACTGTTCCAATAAGGGCTTGGAATAAGGTCAGTATATTATACAAGAGTACCTTTAAGAAGGGTGGTCCACCTTGACTTGTACAGCATAGAAGTATGTCAACTCTTCCGAATGTTGCGACTGCATCTGCCACGACTGCCTGACACTGTCCCATCATTCTGTGTCGAGAAACCGTCAGTCATTATGATTAAAATTCATGATTAACTTAACTGCCTTGATGTAGCGCACCGGATATCTAGCGGAACTGTCTTCAAGCGCTGTGCCCAGCCACTACCGTGATGCTCCGCTTCAGCGAGAAAAGCCTCAAATTCATTACGGCGACGTTCATCGCGTTCCAAAGCTGAATGTGCTAGTCCAAGAAATGCATAATCTCCATGCGCAAGGACCTGCCGCGCGACTGAGAGGCCAATAGGTGAATCCCCCGCGGTGATCAGCCATACTCGAGGCTCATTATGTGACGGGAATTGCGCGCGGGCATCAAAAGGGGGGTTATTGTCCATGAGGGTCAACGCCAACAGCTGAAACCGCTATCCATCACGCGATTGCAATTTCAAAGGTGGTAAGCTGGTTAATAGCAAACAAGTATAAAGAATGGAAGATGCCCGGAGGGTCGGAAGACAAATGCCAAGACCGCGCAAGGTCCCGGGCCTCGATCTAATCTTGTGCTAATCGCCCACGTTAGCTGTCCTTTTGGCTTTTCCTCTTCTTTCCCTCATCCATCATGTCGGAACAGAGGCCACGCAGACAGGAGGAGTCCAACGTATGTGTCGCTGATCTAGTGTTGTTGTGTTGAATTCACTGACCCCCTTTAGTCGGGCTTCAAGGGTGCCCTTCAGGGTCTTGCAGTCTTCTTGGTGGCCCAGTTTGCCATCAACCAGTACATGGGAAATAAGGACAAGGCGGACACCCCCAGCGTGAATTCTGGTGGTATCCCCGCTTTTGCCGATCGCCCCGATCCCAGTGAAGTCGCCGAACGCAGTGCTCTCCCCGAGGTTATCGCCCCGATCTGGCCCTCCGACAGCGCTGTCGATCTCAGCGTTTATGTAACCCCCTCTATCATTGTGCCCAACTTCAAGTCGCCGGACGGTGTTCTTGTGGTGGATGAGAAGAACTTTACCATTGGAAACTACAGTGATACTCGCGAAATCGACACCACCATCAAGGTCCCGAAGCAGGTCCAACAGAATGGAACTCTCTGGGCTCACTTCTTTTTGGCTCGCACCGGATACCCGTTAGACCCCGCCGCTAAGGACTACAACACCGCTGATGCAGTTCACTTCCTCCGACCTCTGAACCAGTACCTTCCCAAGAAGAAAGTCAAGAAGCTGAAGAATCTTCTGTCGGGCCCTGAGGATGAGCAAGACCAGGAGGAAGATAACACCCCGGATATTTCAACTGTGTCATACTACCACCCTAATTTCACCCTGTCCCTGATCCCAGACTCCGGAACTCAGAAATTGGCGCAGATGAACCCCGCGGTTCGCCAGTATGTGCAGCTGGAGCGGACTGGTGCCCGCGATGCCAGTGGAAAGAATGGATGGTACTACCCGATCGCTTTTGTGAACACCTTTTGGCAACTGAAGACCCACATGACTGAGTTGAACTCTACCGTCGAGACCGTCCCGTTGCATATTACTCTCAACAACATGGCGAACTGGAAGTTCAACATCCTTAGCAGTGTTGATGAAGGCTCGAAGCAAAGTTCTCGCCAGGCTGCCTACGGCAAGCCTCCTCCTGGTGGTGGAGATGGAACTGAGTGGGAGATGGTGAAGGAGATTCTCTTGGATACGAACATTTGGCTTCTCTGCACCACGGGTGTGGTCACTGTCTTCCATATGTTGTTTGAGACTTTGGCCTTCAAGAACGATATTGTAAGTGATGTCTCACTATTAACGGTGTTGTGTCTAGCATCGCTAATATCCTCACTTTCTAGGCTCACTGGCGCAAGAAGAAGGACGTAGTTGGTACTTCAGTTCGGACAATCTTGGCAAACGTCTTCATGCAAGCTGTGATCTTCCTCTACCTCATGGACAACAGTGATAACACCTCTTGGATGATTCTGGCCAGCCAAGGATTTGGTATTCTTCTGGAATTCTGGAAGATCACCAAGACCGTCGACGTTCGTTTGCGCCCGCCGCCAGCCAGCTCTAAGTTGTCGTTCTTGCCTTATGTAATTGTGTTCGAGGACAAGCACAAGCTTAGCGAGACTGAGGAAAAGACTAAGGAGTACGATGAGATTGCTTTCCGCTACCTGTATATCTTGGCTGTTCCCCTTCTGCTCGCATACGCCGCGTACAGCCTGGTCTACAACACCCACAAGTCCTGGTACTCCTACGTTATCCAGACCCTGGTTGGCAGTGTTTACGCTTACGGCTTCCTCATGATGGTCCCCAGTCTCTACATCAACTACCGGTTGAAGTCTGTTGCCCACATGCCTGGAAAGGCGTTGACCTATAAGTTCCTGAACACCTTCATCGACGATCTCTTCGCCTTCACCGTCAAGATGCCTTGGCTTCACCGCCTGGCTACTCTCCGCGACGATGTCATCTTCTTCGTCTGGCTCTACCAGGGCTGGAAGTACAAGGTTGACTACAAGCGCGTCAACGAGTTCGGCCAGGGAGGTGACAGTGACGAGGAGGAGGAACCTACCCCTGCTATCGAGGGCGACAAGAAGAAGGAAGTGGCTACCCAATCCTCTTCCAAGGCTACCTCTACCTCCAAGTCGTCTACCCGCAAAAGGAAATGAACAACGGCTTAGATGCGGGCCTTGTCGACTTATAGACCGATGAACCTGTGATAAACGCCTTTGCATATGTAGTAAATCACTCGATTTCACTATTCTTGGCGTGATGCTAGCGACCATCGGATCATATTATTACGATGTTGTAGCCAGCAATGTTTAATTCCGATTCTTTTAATTAGGATTCAATAAATCACTTGAGAGTTCTGAGCTTTACGTATCCAGTATCATGAAAGTAGACGAGACCAAGTAATATGATAGTATCATCAGACCAACAATGACAGACCGA